ATTAGTCATTAGTCATTAGTCATTAGTCATTAGTCATTAGTCATTAGTCATTAGTTTTGAAAGATTATAAGATAATATGATTTCTTTAATATTATTATTGATCTTTAACTGTGATTTGATAACAAGCTTTTCAAATGGTTTTACAACTCTTCATTAAATTCTAGTTTAGATTTTCATAGTTTTATATCAATTTACTTAAAACTTTTTTCTTACTCCTTCTTCATATCAGAGCTCATCCCTGGCGAAGGTATAGCGATGCTTGGAGGGTCTCAGCTCCCTGAATTTAGAAGAGGGCGGCTTCAGTGAAGAAACCTCCGTATCATCTTCATTGTCTTCAACAGAGTTCATCAATTCCACGAAATGATACCTCCAATGCAAATCACCCGTGTAGAGTTGGCCTATGAACTCTTTCAATTTTCCAGGCTTGTAAAGATCATCGAATTCGGGAAAGGGAAACATATGCGCGAACGAGTCTATAGCTATGACGGGTAGGTCGGCCTCTGTTTTGTTCATGTGGAAGAGAGGAGTTTTAAATAGTATTCCATCGGCTGTCAGAAAGATCACATTGTCGAGCTCATCCATCAGTTCGGCACGTACTACTCTCTCGAAATCTTTTCCAGATTGTTTATCTTGAGGGTTATGGAAGAGTATAACAAAGAGTTTGGCCTCTTCCGTGAGTTCCTCAGCATTGCTGAATGTCAGCTCACGCACAATGGGTATACACTTCATGGTGAGCCACTCCATCAGCTCTTCCTGGCTGGACATGTTGCCGGTGTACAGGCTCAGCGAGTCTGTGTGATTCAAGTGCTCTTGGAATGTCAAGGAATTCGGACCATTACCCCCAGTGAACTTCACATGGAACTGACAGTGCTCCTTCATATTGCTCGCTGCCCTGCGATAAGCCATATACTCGTCATGAGAGTTGCTTTCGTAGTGTCCAATCACCAGATACTTGCGGGTATTTAGATCGTTCAGCTCATTCAAGGAGACAAACTCCTGTATAGGATCCAGCAGCTCCTCAAGTGCAAAGGACACGATCGCCTCTACGGAGCGTTGTCCTCGATACTCCTTTTTGTTGACGTATTTGTTCCGCACGATCTTTATGGTCGGATACTTGCCAATATCATAGTTACTCTCCATTTCAGGCTCCAGGTCGCAATCGACCTTGCCCAGAGCCAACTTGCCCGTGCCTCCAAGTGTAGAGTGCAGCTGACTTGCGGCCGACTCATAGATGGGCATCAGTTGCACGCTGTATTTGCATCTATTCGAGTAGAAGAGCAGCAGAACGAGTTCGTTCGAGTCAACTACTTCACTCACATTGTGCCTGCTCACTTGATAGGATTCTCCAGTCGCAGGCATAAACAGTTGAGAGAGGGCCACAGCCAGAGCCAACCAGCTAAAAAGTTTTTGATGCATTTTCAACGAAACCTTTCCAAAGTCTAAAAATCATTTACCAATTTTAAATAATTTATCTCAAGTATTCATTAGTTGCGGCCATAAACTAGTTCGTTCCGCAGCCGTATCTAAAATGTCCCCGATACGCTTCGAGCCAAACATGTTGCTTATCGGAGATTTTGTAGTATTTTCATATTGTTGATCGAATAGATCAGTTGTAAAGTGAAGTAGTTGCTGATTGAACTGCTTGAGAGCTATTAGCAAAAAGTAGTTTGAGCTGGTTTTTAGTTTATGTGCGTTAACACGGCTTCATTTTAGTCATTTTTTAAAGTAGACAAGAAATGGAAATAATAAGTGTCGAGGATTCTGCCTCTAAGCATATTTAGATTTCCAACGACCCTGTAGAGTAACTATCGTAATACAGCATAGAAGCTCATTTAATGAAATAATTGTATCTAGATATTTACAAGCACTTAATGCCAATACTATTCCAATAACAATTTCTAAATGCAATTAAAATATGCCATAATTACGACTTGGGCTAAAGACTAGAGACATTGGATGGTAGCAGTAGAGCTAGAACCAGAACCTGAACCAGTTCCCGGCACAAGTTGCAATGTTAATGACATAATCTTAAAAAGCATTTCATGAATAGCCATTATCGTTAAAAGAGAGTGCGAAGGAGAGGAGATGAACAAAGAGAGGTAGAGAATGAAAAAAAGAGCGAGAGATAGCGTGTTGACATAAATAGTGTTGATTTGAAATTCAAAGTGGAAAACATGAGTTACAGAATCCTCAGGCATTCATGTTCACCAAGATCGTGTTTCATATCATTTATTCATTCATTCAGTTGGACTGAGGGAAGCGTGTTTAAGAGAATGAAATGATTCTTTCAGACTCTTTGTGAAACTATTTTAAGCGAATATATAAACCATTTGCCTCTACTTTTTGTGTGCCCAAGATATCTAATCAGCTTGTAAAATCTGAGACACGCCTCTGGCTCTGGCGCTCCGTGCCAAAAACTATATTTTCAATTACAAGAGCTATACTGACTTGTAAGGGAGGCAGGGGGCGCACATAAATACACCTCCGATATCCTGGAGCTGGCAGAGCAATTTAAACACAGCATGTGGTCGGCATATCAAATTTCGGTATCGAAAAGAAATAACTCAGCGCTCAAATGGCAACAGTCAGCAATTACTTAGCCTGCGAAAAGGATAATAGTGCTGAGGCCAACAACTTGTGTCTGGCTCTGGCTCTGGCTCTGGCTCTGCTTGGAATGTCGCTTGGCATATTTATTTATAGTAGCGGCATTTGCTCACATTGTGTGCTGGCATAAGACGCACATAAATCACTTGGCAGGACCTGCAAAAGGATGTAAATTATATAAAAATAATTTGACATGCTCTACACACACACAGACACACAGTTGGGTGGGGGCAAGTGGTGGTTGGAGGGAGGAGGGGACTGGCATGCGCCGCGAAGACGAAGATGCCAGCGAAATAGATAAGCATAACTAGGAAATATTTTGGTGACGGTTCTTGTTTTTTGTTTATAAGCAGTCAAAGAGAAGTCGTCGCTAGAGAGGTGCGATTGTCGTGCTCCTGAGCGTGACACGAATACCTATGTATCATTTATTATTAATAATTGCATTTTATGCATTCCTTTATTTTAAATAATTATTTTTTAAATCTAAGCCTTTAAGTAGCGAATAAATGAAATGAAATAAATAAAATCAATAATATTATATAAGTATTTATAATAATCGTAATATGTATTTTCATTTATTTACAATAATTAAGAAATATACATGCTTTTAATATTTAATATACATTATTGAGATTATTTATTATGCCAAGCTATTTTCTAAAACATAAAATATCGTTAATAATCGATAAAAATCCATACCGACTTCATATACAGGAATACTTTTTTCGAGCTCCAGAACTCTAGCTTTAGTGGCTTGCGAGATTTTTACAATCATATTTTAGGCAGACGATGAGGTGGCCAGGTGGAGATCTATTCGTCCTGCCAAAGAACTATAAATACTGTTAACGAATTTTATGGATATTATGTTGTACTAAAATAAGTAACTAGATTTCTTCAGTTTAATTTAATTTTAAAAAATTAAATGCATATTATAAATGCATATTAAGAATAATATTTTTTAAGATTCATCTACATTTTTCTTTATTTTTAATACATTTAAAGGTACATTATCTTATATAAATGATATTGTTTTTCCATACCCAATTATTCACTTTTCTTTATTGCGCAACATATTTAATTTTAGTTTCATAATTTCATAATTTATTAATTCGCTTAGCCTCACGACATGCCCAGCCGTACTATGCAGTCCAGAAATATTTATCTCTTGCGCTATATCATTGTCCGATCCGCCTGCTGTGCCATATATCATACACACACACGCACACACAAACACAGACGATGTTTCATAACTTTTAAGTGCGAAGCAGAAAACTAGACGCAACATTTCGGAATGCAAATTTTAGTAAATTGAAAATCTGCGCCGCATTGCAAAACCGCAAAAGCCATCGACAAATAAGTTTTGTATACTGTCACCGAAGGGGGGCGTGGACGACGGGGCGTTCAGTGTCCAGCTCGCTCGGTTCAGGTCTCAAAAACTTTAAGACGAGCATGTGCATTTGTCATAAATTAGAAACTGTAACTCTAACTCTAACTGTAACTGTAACTGGGGGTGTTACCTTTTTGCCATTTGGGGCACGAACTGGGCTCAGAGCATATAACACATAAATTTATTGCAAATAACTCTAGCTCTGTTTTTTAACGCTCCGGGCCATGCTCATTTTTTAGCCATGCTAAGCAAACTAATCAACGCTCGTAATTTGGGTTGGCCAAATGGCACGCGGCTAAATGAACTGTGCACAGCTTCCCCATGAGCTGTGTGTGTGTGTGTGTGTGTGCAGTCAAAAGTAAACAACAACTTGGCTATTATAAATCTTGGCCTAAGTGTTGTGGTCATTTAGCAAATGTCCAGCTATGTCCGGCAGCCAGAGTTGCGGCTGCAAATGGAAGGATACACAAGGATGAGCTGGCCGTGATTTATAAAATATATTAATTAAATGTAGCCCAAATGTAGCTTGAGATTGAGATAATGAAAACAAGAGAGGGTAAACAAGTTATGCAAATGCGTAGCTTTAATTTTACATAATTATTACGATTACATTTAAAGTCTAATGACAATTTAAGAGACACGACTGGAGAGAAATACATATAAAAATACATATGATACATTTTTTTTTGTTTTGCATAAATAGCAAACACACACACACACACACACAAGTGTTTGTGCTGTCAAAGTCAAAATAAACGCAACGACGAATAATGATTTATTCAACCAAGAAGAAAAGGAATGAAGAAAAATGCGTAAAGGAAGCCGAGTAGCAGGACCCTTTGCAGAGTCCTTAAGTGGCGGGTGGTTGATGTCTGCCTGCTGGGCGAGGAGGCAGGATGAGGCGCTCGGTTAGCGCCACAAGGACATACGCGTATTTGTTGATATGCTAAAGTGTGTCTACTTGCCGCCTGCAGATAGCAGAGAGCGCAACAAATCTGCGTATAATTCGCATGGAAGCCGCCCAGAATGTGATATTGAAATATGCCTAGATTGAATTGTGCAGCCGAGGCATAAATCTCAGCAGGAGTATAGCTCAAATAAACGTTATATAATTAGCTGGCTGACGAGCTTCAAGCATAACGTAGCTTTAAGTGGCTCTCTTTTTAGACAGTCAGGCAATTGGCAATCTAAAGTTTTCCATTTCTTTTCTTTTCTTTTCTCTCTGTTTGGCCAGACAATAAAAGTTTTGGCCCCTTGGGCGGCAAATTGTCCATGATGTTGGTCATAAAGCGATTTAGATATTGACCCGCCCATTTTGCGATATTTATTGAGTGGCAAAGAAAAGTTCGGGGCACACAGCTTGGGTGTGGCAAAAATAGTGTAAGGTTACATATGTACATACATATATGGCAAAAGTTCAAAATCGATCAGTTGTAGTTCACATATAATATTTATTTATTTATTTGTTTTGTTTTTTTACCTCTTTATTTATTATTTACTGAATTATATATTTATATATTATTTGATGATTTTTAGTATTTATTAATTTACTCTTTTTATAGGTTTTAGTAAATCATGTGCATCTATCTCTTTTTCCTACTCTAAAACTCTCTTACTCAGTCTGAGTGTCCTACCCTCTTAATACTAAGCCTCTCTCCCTGACTTTGTCTTCTTTTTGTTATTTCTTTTCCATCTGATATACATCTATAAATTTCTTTCTCTCAATTCTCAGCAGTATCTCACATCTCTCTGTCCCTTTATCTAGCCTAAATTCTCAGTCTCCCTCTCTATATCCCTCTCTATTTCTCTCACCCTCCCTCTTTCGCTGTCTCTCTTTCTCTCTCCTTTTCTCTCTTCCATGCTGCATCTTTTATTCTTTTTTACTTTGCGTCTCTCTCCCTTCTATTCTCTGTCTCATTATGTTTTTTTTCCATCCGTCTCTTTGATTGTTTTCTTCGCTTACTTACATTTCTCTTTGGCTCTCTCTCGCTCTCTCTCTCTCTCTCTCTCTCTCTCTCTCTCTCTTTATTCTCTATTATTCACTCTTTGTTATCTTTAACCCAACGTATCTTACTATATATACGTAATTCTCTTTCTCTTCCTTCATGATTAAATATTGTCTTCGATTCATCTCTTACTTTTAATAGGTTATATGATGATATTTAGCCCAGTCTATATCCATTTAATACAAAGTTAGGCAATTAAGAAATCAATTCTTTTCCGTACCCATAGCATTTCCTCTTAAATTTCAAACACAATCTGAACAATTTAAAGTACCTAATTGATTTCCTGAAATAAAAATAAATTCCAACAGCCATTACCAAAATTGAATCCGCATACACACACCCAATACACACACACTTGAACTTCAGACCGTGTAGATCCAATCAGGTCGGTATTGCCCCAGCCATGGAGCAGGGTCCGC